AGGGCTTGGTCTAGGCCATGCAGGGAGACAATAGGAGGGAGATGGAGGGAAAGAAGGGAGGGATGGAGGAGAAAGGAGAGAAATATGGAGTGAAAGGAGGGAGGGAAGGAGGGCAAGGCCCTGGCCAGAAGGTGAAAGCCCCAGGGTGTCCTCTTAATCGGCGATGATCTGAGCTGGTTATACAGTGCATTCGGAAAGTACTCAGACCCCTTGACTTTTTCCACGTTTTGTTACGTTACAGCCTTATTCTAAAATGTATTGAATATTTTTTAGCCCTCATCAATCTACACATAATAACCCATAATGATGAAGCAAAAACAGGTTTTTAGAAATGTTTGCAAATGTATAAAAAAAATTACAACTGCAATATCACATTTACATAAGTATTCAGACCCTTTACTCAGTACTTTGTTGAAACACCTTTGGCAGCGATTACAGCCTCGCGTCTTCTTGGGTATGACGCTACAAGCTTGGCACACCTGTATTTGCAGAGTTTCTCCCATTCTTCTCTGCAGTTCCTCTCAAGCTCTGTCAGGTTGGATGGGGAGTGTCGCTGCACAGCTATTTTCAGGTCTCTCCAGAGATGTTCGATTGGGTTCAAGTCCGGGCTCTGGCTGGGCCACTCAAGGACATTCAGAGACTTGTCCTGAAGCCACTCCTGCGTTGTCTTGGCTGTGTGGGTCCTTGTCCTGTTGGAAGGTGAACCTTCACCCAAGTCTGAGGTCCTGAGTACTCTGAAGCAGGTTTTTATCAAGGATCTCTCTATACTTTGCTCCGTTCATCTTTCCCTCGATCCTGACTAGTCTCCCAGTCCCTGCCGCTGAAAAACATCCACACAGCATGATGCTGCCACCACCATGCTTCACCGTAGGTATGGTGCCAGGTTTCCTCCAGACGTGACGCTTGGCATTCAAGCCAAAGAGTTCAATCTTGGTTTCATCAGACTAGAGAATCTTGTTTCTCATGGTCTGAGTCCTTTAGGTGCCTTTTGCCAAACTCCAAGCAGGCTGTTATGTGCCTTTTACTGAGGAGTGGCTTCCGTCTGGCCACTACCATAAAGGCCTGATTGGTGGAGTGCTGCAGAGATGGTTGTCCTTCTGGAAGGTTATCCCATCTCCACAGAGGAACTCTAGAGCTCCCTGACCAAGGCCCTTCTCCCCCGATTGCTCAGTTTGGCCAGGTGTTGAGCTCTAGGAAGAGTTTTGGTGGTTCCAAACTTTTTCCATTTAAGAATGATGGAGGCCACTGTGTTTTTGGGGACCTTCAATGCTGCAGACATTTTTGGGTACCCTTCGAGTCTAATAGTAAATGGTCTGAATACTTATGTAAATAAGGTATTTCTGTTTTTGATATTGTCTGAATACTTTCCGAATGCACTGTAGATGGACAAGTGACCGTTTAGGATCCAGGAGGTGACTGGGCCAGTTGCCCATGGGCGTTTACCTACACTCTTAGAAAAAAGGGTTCCAAAAGGGTTCTTCGGATGTCCCCATAGGAGAGCCCTTTTTGGTTCTAGGTAGAACCATTTTGGGTTCCATGTAGAACCCTCTGTAGAAAGGGTTGTACATGGAACCCAAAAGGGTTCTACCTGGACCAAAAGTGTTCCACCTGCAACCAAAAAGGGTTATTCAAAAGGTTATCCTATGGGGACAGCCGAAGAACCCATTAAGGTTCTAGATAGCACCTTTGTTTGAAAGAGTGTATAGCCTAATCCCAACGCAATGACAACGTTCCATCTGCTACTTACAGCAGAATCATGAGCTGGGACTGTCTTTCTTCTCTTGTCTTGAACTCTGGGTGGTCTGCTTGGAGAGGGTGGTCTAACACATATAACCCTAGTGGTTGTGTCTTGTTTACTGTTTACATTTAACTCAATTCAAGTCAATACAAAAGTCAATATTCTTGTCATTTAGCTGGTGCTCTTATCCAGAGCGATGACCTACAATAAATGCTCTCGATGTCGTAAATCAGTTAAGGAACTGTCCTGCAGTAACCTGAAGGCGTTTCACATGAGGAATGCATTCTTCCCATATACCGGTATACATAGTTGTGCTTCTGAGCTGGCACTGACGTGGTCCACAACATTATTTTTAGTCACAATACATAGTACTCAGCTACATCATGTCATGAAGATTTCTAGTTCCTTTGAATGTGAGCTAAGAACAAGCTAATAATTTTAACATGAATATCCATGACTGTTGTGTCAAAACTGATTCCCATATATTAGCCTATAATACCTTGGTTATGATGTCTGAGTATTATTGAGCAAATGGGCACCAATCCCCTACACACATGTTTGGAGTACTGAGATTTCCCAGCAAATCTCCAACCAGTGAAATGAATGGGAAGATCATGACGCCCATAAAGAACGGAACTCAGCTAGACATCAACCCTTTTGTGGGGAAAGACTGAAAGGTGATGAAAATGGTGATCTAGACTGGAGCCTGGGTTCACTCGACCTGGTCTCAGAGCATTTCGTATTATTCTGTGCGTAAATCTGAGACACTTAATTTAGTATGATATGTTACGTTTCGTGGAATAGACGTTGAATTGACATCTCTGCTCAGTGGGTTAGATCATATATTTTCAGGTAGAAATACCTTGCGAAGCAACTGCTCTCTATCCCTCTCAATCGTGCATTCTTCTGTCTCTTCTCTCCCCCTCCATGTCTGCCCCACATAGACCGGACAAGTAGGCACGCAATGGATTATGGTTATTGTAGTTAATTACCACGTTTTCTGTGCTAAACTGTGTAGAATATTGGCCTCCCTACTATATCGCACAGTTCGGGCTTGATCTGATTTATCTCTAGAGAAATTGAGAAAAAAACGAACGAAATGGAATTCAAATAGTTGAACCGACATCGGTCAATTAGTTACTTAAATAACGGACATTTCGGATAATCGCTCAGCACTACTTTACATTACATTACATTACATTGGCCTACCAATGTAATAGTGGTCTTACAATATAATACAAATTGTAGTGCGTATAGTATCCTACGTCTTAATCGCATTTGACCCGTTTAGTATAATATATTATGTTTGACTGCTTTAGTATGATATGCTACGTTAGGTTAGGGGTTAAGGTTAGGAGTCAGGGGAAGGGTTAGCTAGCATGCTAAGTAGCTGAAAAGTAGGTAAAAAGTTGCTAATGATCTAAAATGCTAAAGTTGTCCAGGATGAGATTCGAACACGCAACCTTTGGGTTGCTAGACATTCACGTTATACGCCCACCCATCCACCCCAACAAACCATCCTCCTTTCCTGCAGTTAAATTACCAAAGTGCCCTCTAGTGGCCTCAGCTGTCTGCAGAGCTCTGAGACAGGATTGTGTCGAGGCACAGATCTGGGGAAGGGTACCAATACATTTCTGCAGTGTTGAAGGTCCCCAAAAACACAGTGGCCTCCATCATTCTTAAATGGAATAAGTTTGGAACCACCAAGACTCTTCCTAGAGCTGGCCGTCCGACCAAACTGAGCAATCGGGGAGAGGGGCCTTGGTCAGGGAGGTGACCAAGAACCTGATGGTCACTCTGACATGGCTCCAGAGTTCCTCTGTGGAGATGGGAGAAACTTCCAGAAGCACAACCATCTATGCCGCACTCCACCAATCAGGCCTTTGTAGTATAGTGGCCAGACGGAAGCCACTCCTCATGAAAAGGCACATGACAGCCTGCAAAAGACTCTCAGACCATGAGAAACAAGATTCTCTGGCCTGAATGCCAAGCGTCACGTCTGGAGGAAACCTTGCACCATCCCTACGGTGAAGCATGGTGGTGGCAGCATCATGCTGTGTGGATATTTTTCAGCGCCAGGGGCTGGGAGACTAATCAGGATAGAGGGAAAGATGAACGGAGCAAAGTACAGAGAGATCCTTGATGAAAACCTGCTCCAGAGCGCTCAGGACTGGGGCGAAGGTTCACCTTCCAACAGGACAATGACCCTAAGCACACAGCCAAGACAACGCAGGAGTGGCTTCGGGACAAGTCTCCAGCCAGAGCCCGGACTTGAACCCGATTGAACGTCTCTGCTTCAACAAAGTACTGAGTAAAGGGTCTGAATACTTATGTAAATGTGATTTTTTTAGTTTTTTAGTTTTTATACATTTGCAAACATTTCTAAAAAACTGTTTTTGATTTGTCATTATGGGATATTGTGTGTAGATTTATGAGGGGAAAAAACAATTTACTCCATTTTAGAATAAGGCTGTAATGTAACAAAATGTGGAAAAAGTCAAGGGGTCTGAATGCTTTCCGAATGCACTGTATGTCTGGTGTTTCTATGTGATGTATACAAAGTTTAATAGTGGGATGCAAACTCAAAATTGAATATATTTCTACTCTATATTTGACATGGTACAGGTGTCTTATTGTTTTAAGCCCATAACCATGTGTGTAATGTGTATACCTTTGTTTCAAAGTAGATTTGTTTAAGACTACTAAGAAACACTCTGATTTAGCCCACTGCAGTAAAATGTTTTAACTTAAGTAACCTACTGTCCATACCAAACATAATATATCATTTACCTCTACTATATTACGTCTAGTCGATGTAATGTAACCTAACGTAAAGTAACATATCATACTAAATGGAGTGGCATGGATTTTTGTCAAATAAAGACTGCCTTGGTAGGTGGGGGTGTTGTAGACCCACTGGCTAGAACCAGCTAGGCATGCTGCCCACAACTCCCAGCCCCCTATCCCTACAACCATCAGCCTGGCCTTCTCCTTTCCTGTCTCAGGATGCGACGGACAGTGTGACGTCCCACTAACACAGTGAGACCAATGAAACAGTCCCTGTTCTAACCTCCTTGCTGACTGTAATGTGTTTACAGCCTGAGGAGATTACAAGGAAGCAGCTTGCAGAGTTGAGCGAGCGGGGAAAGCTGGGGGCAGCTAGGCAGGAGGCAGCTGCTGTTTTCTATACTACTACGCTGCAGTAGGCAGCGTTAGCAGCAACAATCACAGCCTGCCTGGGGTAGAGGGGGAGACAGGCAGGATGCCATTGTGGAGAAGTGGCTCCCGGGCCAGGCAGCAAGGCTCAGAAAAAGCTAATGGACCACCCAGACCCAAGGCAAGGTAGGCCTGTACTAGGCCCTTATAGGCCCTAACCTCAACTCAACTCTGGGTTTATGGGACCGGGCTGCTGCTGGATTATGTCAATTAACTCTCTTTACTCCCCTTCACCCCTTACTAGACATATAATAGACTGAGTTATCGTGTTGACATATAGAACTTAATTCTGAATGAATCGATTACTTCTACCAATGCTCTTATTTTTACTCAGAAGCACAATACATTGTGTGCTGGGAATAGACAAACATTTTTGAGTACTGATTGATTGATAATGAGCTATGTTGTCAACTTCCAACCAATCAGAGCACTAACCAGAGCACTTTCCTTCACTGAGCCTTTCTGTTCGTCCTTCTTCCCTCCATGTACTGTGGTGAGCACCCGTGGAAAAGTCTCTATCCCAGGTCTGCATTAGTCTGCGTACCAGTCTTTTTGACATTTGGCAAATGACAGGAGTGGCAAGGAGTGGAATGTTATAGCTGAACAGAGACGGCAACCAGGCTAGGTCTGCATGACTTAACTGTTGAATTCTCTAGTACATAAGAGGATTCCAAAGGAATTCAGCTGTTAGGATTAGGAATGTGGCCTAGTAGTCGCTAGTGTATCAGTGATGAGACGACCGAGTAGATTACTTCATTTCTTGACTTTGTAGCCATTGGGTTACTCTGGGTTGTTACAGTATTAAATAGGCTTCAAGTCCACGTAGCAGATAATGGACCTTATCAGATATTTATGTAGTTGGTGCTGTATATTAACTAATATACATGGGTTCTAACTTGAAAAAGTATTTGTTAGTTTACAATTGTACAATGTACGCTCCCCGCATATAGAAACCACGAAGACTGCCGGAAAGCCCCGAACGCAAGATTGTAATTTTCTATGACTCCCACAGTGGAGGAATATATTGCCTGGAGCCTACTGTACATGGTATACTGTAAGTGGCACTTCACTTTTTAGTATGGAAAACGTCTGTGAGGATTTTTCTACAATATTCACAACAAATTGACACAATTACAATCTTTATAGAAAGTTAATTCTCTCCACTCTCTCCCCGGTTTTAGCTTGCGGCTATCACTGTCTAACTGGCTAGGTTTAGGATATTTACTAGTCCATACCAGTGACAAACGTAGCGATGTTATCAACATATGGCAGTACACAAACAAAATCTAACTCACTTACAGTATATTACAAGAAATAGCCACGAATTCATTCAGAAATGGAGGAAGAGGATAGCTAGCTCTAGCAAGCTAACGTTATCTGCTGCCTCTTCAACAAGAAGCAACTGTGACCACATTGATCCTAAGATCCAAAAATAAACTTTCCCATGGCTCAAAATCCACAATCCACCCCTCCAAAGAAAGCCGGTCGGCGATTAGATCCATAGCCAAAGCGTCGCATTTCAGTTTAGCCCGCACTCGGCAGGCCATATAGAAAACTCCCCCAGAGCCACAGAACGACCGAATTACCGCATCTCGCAGTCCCCACAAACACCTTGAAAACTACTCTTTCCCATAGTACAAACCTATCTATAACAGCATCAGCAGTTAGCTACCAACAGCTGGCAGACATGTTTACATTTGGTTAGTTTTATCAGTGTTATTTAGATGGAAGACGTGAGCTAAATGTGGGAGCTCTATACCTATCTAACGTTAGCATAGAGGTAGCAAGCTCGCTACCTATCTCTTTCACTTACCGGGTTCACTGATACCTCAGGGGAATATTCCTGTGGTTGTAAACATTGTTTGGGACTTTCTAAGGATAGTGCTGCTCTGAGCTGATTGTATTTATTTTCAAATGCTTCAAGACTGGTTTTCAGACAAAAATAAAACAAAGCCTAATAAAGTATTTTTCATACCTTTTTCATTTGATTATAAAAGCATATGTAATATGCTACTTGTGTCACCACTTTCCTGCTTCCATACAATAGGCTGTAAGGTTCATTGAATCAAAGCGTAAACATATCACCCACAAATCAGCCTGAACTGCTTATTCTGCTGTAAGCGTTTATCTGATATCAATATTGAAGATAATGTAGAGCTTACATTTGACATACAATGAGGAGAGTTTTGATATCCAGCTGGTCTGTTGTTGATTAAGTCTCAAAACAACATGATTTCCCCCCCTTTCACGTGACGTAGCCTGTCTGTTCTGTTTGCATCATCTCTTGAAAATGTAGTGTTGGCGGGAGCAGAGATAGTGAACGAGGGAGAGTGAAAGAGAGTAGATGAGGTAGGAAGGAGGAGGTTCATTGGCAGATAATGCTGACAGGCCTGTTCACCTGGCTTTCTCAACCCTGTCACCTTACACAGGTATGGAGACTACTAATAACCAGGTATTTACCTTCAAGGAACGACGATGTCACTACAGCTATCTTCCTCATTTTGATTTATTGGATTGAGCTGATGGAGATTGTATTTAGCTGTAAAAACAACACCAAAAAAACAGTGAGTTTTGTGAATACGCAATACATGACATTTACATTTTAGTCTTAGCAGTTTGCTATATCTGCTACAGTAAACCAACTTATGGTCTGTGTCAATGTGGATGGTAAAAAGGAATGATTTAGATGTATTTGTATCAGTTTAGTGGCATTAAAAGGGCCACTGGTTTCTGATCTTGGTAGGTCTAATTAGGGTGGGAAATGTAACTTTTTGGTCCGCAGTGGTTAAAAAAGAATGAAGATAAATCACAGAAAACACTGTACCCCATCCCGCTTTCACCACTCTACCATTGAGATTCTCTCTTCCAGAGCTGACACACACACACGCACACACACCCATGCTTTTGATTTTTTTTTTTATGCTCTCAAATGCTCTGTGTGACCATCCACCAATGTGGCTGGTAAGAATAGACATTCTACCAGCAAATGTCAAAATCTACCAGCATTTCCCACCCTGGGCCTAATTATCTCCTATATGTCAACATTTCTGTTATCAATAACCTAATGTCAACATTTCTGTTATCAATAACCTATCAGCTTTGGTGCACTGACATTGTCTTAGTTGGAGTTGATTTGTGATGGGAGTTTGTTTTGGACTTGGACTGGAGGGAGCTGCAATGTGTGTTTCTGTGAAAGTTGTGTGTGTTTTATGGGGGGGGTGGGGGGTGTTGCTAATGTACTTTGGCTCTAGATGTGTGGTAGTATAGGAGCCAGGACTACAGGGTTAAGGTCCCCAGAGAGAGGGGACAGCTAGCCAGGTGTTGATGACTGATGTGGTGTGGTGGCGTAGCCACCATCGCTCACACATTCCTTCTTCAGTCACGCCACATACCTCTAACTCTACATGCACTCGGCCAGCAAAAGCCCCGGAGCACTGACACATTTCTGACTAGAGCACTGACACATTTCTGACTAGAGCACTGACACATTTCTGCCCTACTCAGTTAGGGCAGAATCTTAACTTGAGATCACAGGCTTTACTCAGACTTTGAGTAAATCATGATGTCAATTATTGAGTAATGCGGCACTTATACATACTACAGTGCTATGAAAAAGTATTTGGCCCCTTTCTAATTTTCTTGACTTTTGCATATTTGTGATACTGAATGTTATCAGATCTTCAACCAAAACATAATATTAGATAAAGGGAACATAAGTGGACAAATAACACAACAATTACATATTTATTTCATTTATTTTATAAACAAAGTTATGCAACACCCTATTCCCCTGTGTGAAAAAGTAATTGCCCCCTTACACTCAATAACTGGTTGTGCCAGCTTTAGCTGCAATGACTCCAACCAAATGCTTCCTGTAGTTGTTGATCAGTCTCTCACGTCACTGTGGTGGAATTTTGGCCCACTCTTCCATGCAGAACTGCTTTAACTCAGTGACGTGTGGGTTTTCAAGCATTAACTGCTCGTTTCAAGTCCTGCCACAACATCTCAATTGGGATTAGGTCTGGACTTTGACTAGGTCATTCCAAAACTTCCAATTTGTTGCTTTTTAGCAATTTTCATGTAGACTTGATTGTGTGTTTTGGATCATTGTCTTGCTGCATGACCCAGCTGCACTTCAGCTTCAGCTCACAGACGGATGGTCTGACATTCTCCTGTAGAATTCTCTGATACAGAGCAGAATTCATGGTTCCTTCTATTAAGGCAAGTCGTCCAGGTCCTGAGGCAGCAAAGCATCCCAGTAATGACTGGCGAAAACCCACCACTGCATTCCACAGTAAGAACATCATTCCAAAGGTCAAGCATAGTGTCACGCCCTGACTCAGGGGACGCTTAAATGTTGAGTCAGGGTGTGTATATTCTTTGTTGTGTGTTTTCTATGTTTCGATCTATTATGTGTAGATCTATGTTGGCCGGTGTGGTCCCCAATCAGAGGCAGCTGTAGCTCGTTGTCTCTGATTGGGGACCATACTTAGGCAGCCTATTGGCACTAGTGGGTTGTGGGATCTTGTTCCGTGTAAGGTATGTTGTGTGTGCTACCTTGGACTTCACGTTTCGTTTAGTTTGTTGTTTTGTCTTTGTGTTTATTTGGTTTAATAAACATGTACGTATATCACGCTGCGCCTTGGTCTGACCCGTCCTTCAACGAACGTGACACATAGTGGTGGTGGTGTGATGGTTTGGGGATGCTTTGCTGCCTCAGGACCTGGACGACTTGCCTTAATAGAAGGAACCATGAATTCTGCTCTGTATCAGAGAATTCTACAGGAGAATGTCAGACCATCCGTCTGTGAGCTGAAGCTGAAGTGCAGCTGGGTCATGCAGCAAGACAATGATCCAAAACACACAATCAAGTCTACATGAAAATTGCTAAAAAGCAACAAATTGGAAGTTTTGGAATGACCTAGTCAAAGTCCAGACCTAATCCCAATTGAGATGTTGTGGCAGGACTTGAAACGAGCAGTTAATGCTTGAAAACCCACACGTCACTGAGTTAAAGCAGTTCTGCATGGAAGAGTGGGCCAAAATTCCCCCACAGCGACGTGAGAGACTGATCAACAACTACAGGAAGCATTTGGTTGGAGTCATTGCAGCTAAAGTTAGAAAGGGGGCAAATACTTTTTCATAGCACTGTATATGCCCATTCCACGGCACAGTACTGTCTCACTGTCAACACGGGTTACAATTAATCAACAGTTGTTTCCTTATGGTTGGCTGACTGACTGTGGAAGCAGAATGTGTTTATTGCTGATGCTGTTTGTTTGCCTATTTTGTCTGTAGGACTTAGTTATGTGGGTCATCATGTGCTGTGCGCATTCCACAGGTTGTAGCAGGTTCAGCCTATTTTAGGAGGGCACAGATGGAGAGGGAATGGGCTGTCGTGTGTGTGTACTACAGATGTTCTGTGATAAGTGCAGTTCTGTTCATATGATTTTGTCTGGAAGGTTATCTGAGCATTAATAGTCAGGCTTACAAAGTTGTGAGGGAAAATACCAGATACACCTTTTTCTTGAATATTATTTGTTATATGTTCTACGACTCTGTTGTGATTTTGAAGAACTGAACCTTTCTATAGTATGCCAGAGAAATAGTGTAGGATGCTAAAATGTTTTAAGAATGAGGAAAACAGAAATTGTCCACAAAATGAAAATTTGTATTTTTATCCATTACGGTTTTGGGACGGTTTTGGGTCTTTCTTTGGGACAACTTGCGAAATATCCAGAACGGTCAGCCTGTTCTTGGATATCAAGGGATTATCTGTTTATTTCAACATTATTCTAAGAAGCTTTTTAAACAGGGTCACAGAAACTGGCAACACCAGTCAATCCTCCCCTGTACCATCCCTTGTATAAAGGGCTGGATAAATGCAGGGGCTTACCGCCCAGGCCCCGTGGGGGGGGCCCAAGAGGCAGCATGAAAATAATAAAATTATAATTATAATTGTTAAATAAGGAATTAATTATGTCAACCATGCTTAGAACATTATGCAACAGTTGACTAGATATCTGGAATTCATGTCGATACACATTATGCCATCACAATCAGTGGATGATTCCATCTCATTTTGACTACATAAATCAAAATGAGAGAAAAGCTTGGTGGAAAGAGCGCCACAGTGACATCTAGGGGTCAGACAGAGTAGCACGCCTGCGGGACTATTATTGAGAACAATGGAAACCTGAGTCTTTGTGTCCAGTCCACGCTCTCTCTATCTCCTCCTTCCTCCCCTCCCTCCATGCATCCCTCCTCCAGCTTTTATCTCTCTATCTCTCTGGAATCTGGATCCTCCCCGTCTCTCTCTCACTTTTATTATCCTCTCTGTTCATCTCTGATATTTTATGATTGTTTCTTCCTGTCTATCTGGTTGTCAGGAGCCCTAGTCCCTCCGAGATGAACGGTAAGCCTTGGGCCAGGCCAAGCTACCAGGACCAAGCTGCAGCTGAACACACACAGGACAAATGTACAGCGTCCCACCAGGAACCACAACAACAGCACCCTGACAAACTGTGCCTGGACTCCTTCTGGAGTGAGGTGGAGACCATACGCAGCCAGGATAGCGGTTACATTGACCTTGACACTGACAGTGCCAGACGAGACTCCAGACACTCTGAAGGTAAACAGAGAGACAGAGGAATAGTGTCAGTCAGTCAATTACCTGCATAGGCCTATTGTTATAATGTAAACAATGAGAATTGGTTGTTATTTGGTTGCCTGTTGTTTTTTAGCGAGTTGTGTTGTGTTGAACCATGTGTCTGCCATGTGTCTGCAAAACATGGAACGACAATATTATGTGCAATATTGCAATGTGCTCTCCCTATAAAAAATACAGTTTTAGTCATTACTCAGACGGTACATATGTTATGCATGGAACTGCAAGTAATAGTATAATATGCACACTCACAAAAGCATGCATGCATCATGCAAGCACGCATGCAGGCAAGCACACACATACACACACACACACACACACACACACACACACACACACACACACACGTACACAAGCATGCAGTATGTATAGTCTCTGTAATGAAGCTGTTACAGTATGTGTTTCAGAGGGAGAGCAATAACTAATAGGTTGATTTAATAAAGTCCTATTGTATTATGTGTTTCAGAAGGGGAGCAGGAGGAGCAGTGGCTCCAGGATGCAGGTCTGTCCACTCTGATAAGACAGCAACAGCAGAGACCAGACAGAGACCGGGAACAGGACAGGAAGGACCAGGATGTTGACCAGGCCATCCTACTGTCCACTCTGACCCGTACGCAGGCCGCAGCCGTCCAGAGGAGGCTCGATTCCTACACCCTGTCCCTGAGGAAGAGGAACAAACCCCCGCCGCGCGACGTCAGGGATGTCTTTAGCGTCTCACCCTCCTCTATCGCTCAGGTCAGACTGACCACTTACTTTCATACTGATACGGAACAGCCAGGAGGTTGTCCTCACTGTGTGACATGTTGTTTGGTACTGGCTCTGTTCAATCAAGGTGCAATCAATCCATAGCTTTTCTGTTTCCTGTGATAACAAAATGGATTTCCTGTACAAGCAGCTGAAACAAAACAAATACACACATATACAATTCTATGAATGCTTTCAGCCTTTTATTCTTTGATTTTGCACCAGCAGCCACTGCTGAGTCAAGTAGACATCAACAAACATGAAAAAATGCTAAACACCTTAGAGAATCTCTTTTGTTAAACAGTCTAATTCATTCATTCCTCTGGTGTCCATTCTCAAAGCAGCAGAACAGTTCTAACTGACTCTATTAAGAAAGACAGTTGACCTATCAGAATAAAGGGAAATCACGTCTCTGAGCAGCCCCGAGATGGGAATAGAACTGCTGTTCCTCTGATCATATCAGTTATTTAACACTAGAAAACACCTCTTCTCTCTCCCTGCTCCCATTCATCTGACAGTGAAATGATGCAAAAGGACAGCTAGGACCACAATGGAAATAAGTGTTGTATAATGCTCTCATGTGTTATTCTCTCTGGGATTTGTATTTTCTTAACTGTAGGCCACAATCATATATATAAAAAACAACAACATCAAATCAACTGGTACAGTAGCTTGTCAACCCCATTGGTAGACTTGTTTCTGATTGATGCCTTCTATCCTCCCCATGCAGACGCCTCTACCAGAGTCTCAAGACCCTGAGCCTATAGAACCTAGCGCATCTATATCATCTATACCAGAGGACAGCATGGACACTATCAACAAGACCCTACTACAAGGTATCAGCTAGCTCCACATTTCTACTCTGCATCCTTTGTTCTAATTGGTTCAGATTAATCCTGAACACTCTCTCCCCAGACCAGCTGGCCTTGCTAGTCATAATAAACTAAACTTAATTTAAGATCACCTTTGGGATCAGCATGCATTGAGCGAACATTCACTTGTGTTTTATTACCTCAGATATCTCCATTATGCTAACCATTATGACTACTATGAGGCACACTATTATTTAGGGCGGCAGGTAGCCTAGCGGTTAGAGCGTTGGGTCAGTAGCTGAAAGGTTGATTGTTCGAATACCCGAGCTGACAAGGTTAAAAATCTGTCGATGTACCTTTGAGCATGGCACTTAACCCTAATTTGCTTCAGGGGCGTCATACTATTATGGCTGACCCTGTAAAACAACACATTTCACTGCACCTATCCGGTGTATGTCATTTCAAATCCAATTTTATTTGTCACATGCGCCGAATACAACAGGTGTAAATGCTTACTTACAAGCCCTTAACCAACAATGCAGTTTTAAGAAAAAATAAGACTTAAGAAAATGTTTACTAAATAAATGAAAGTATAAAAAATAAATTAATAAATAACACAATAAAATAACAATAACGAGGCTATATACAGGGGGTACCGGTACCGAGTCAATGTGCGGGGGTACAGGTTAGTTAAGGTAAAATGTACATGTAGGTAGGGGTAAAGTGACTATGCGTAGATAATAAACAGTGAGTAGCAGCAGCATAAAAAAAAAAGGGGGGGGGGGGGGTTTCAAATCAAATCAAATCAAATGTTATTTGCCACATGCGCCGAATACAACAGGTGTAGACATTACCATGAAATGCTTATTTACAGCCCTTAACCAACAATGCATTTATTTTTTAATAAATAAGTAAAATAAAACAACAACAACAAAAAAGTGTTGAGAAAAAAAGAGCAGAAGTAAAATAAAATAACAGTAGGGAGGCTATATACAGGGAGGTACCGGTGCAGAGTCAATGTGCAGGGGCACCGGCTAGTTGAGGTAGTTGAGGTAATATGTACATGTGGGTAGAGTTTAAGTGACTATGCATAAATAATTAACAGAGTAGCAGCAGCGTAAAAAGATGGGGTGGGGGTGGGGGGGCAGTGCAAATAGTCCGGGTAGCCATGATTAGCTGTTCAGGAGTCTTATGGCTTGGGGATAGAAGCTTTTGAGAAGCCTTTTGGACCTAGACTTGGCACTCTGGTACCGCTTGCCATGCGGTAGCAGAGAGAACAGTCTATGACTAGGGTGGCTGGAGTCTTTGACAATTTTGAGGGCCTTCCTCTGACACCGCCTGGTATAGAGGTCCTGGATGGCAGGAAGCTTGGCCCCAGTGATGTACTGGGCCATATGCACTACCCTCTGTAGTGTCTTGCGGTCGGAGGCCGAGCAGTTGCCATACCAGGCGGTGATGCAACCAGTCAGGATGCTCTCGATGGTGCAGCTGTAGAACGGCCAGGTCTCTGACCTCCTCCCTATAGGCTGTCTCATCGTTGTCGCTGATCAGGCCTACCACTGTCGTGTCGTCGGCAAACTTAATGATGGTGTTTGAGTCGTGCCTGGCCATGCAGTCATGGGTGAACAGGGAGTATTGGAGGGGACTGAGCACGCACCCCTGAGGGGCCCCCGTGTTGAGGATCAGTGTGGCAGATGTGTTGTTACCTACCCTTACCACCTGGGGGCGGCCAGTCAGGAAGTCCAGGATCCAGTTGCAGAGGGAGGTGTTTAGTCCCAGGATCCTAAGCTTAGTGATGAGCTTTGAGGGCACTATGGTGTTGAACGCTGAGCAGTAGTCAATGAATAGCATTCTCACGTAGGTGTTCCTCTTGTCCAGGTGGGAAAGGGCAGTGTGGAGTGCAATAGAGATTGCATCATCTGTGGAACTTTGTATGCGTCTCTGTGTGTGGAGTAAAGGTGGTCTAGAGTTTTTTTTCCTCTGGTTGCACATTTAACATGATGGTAGAACGGATTTAAGTTTCCCTGCATTAAAGTCCCCAGCCACTAGGAGCGCTGCCTCTGGATGAACGTTTTCCTGTTTACTTATGGCCTTATACAGCTCATTCAGTGCAATCTTAATGCCAGTATTGGTTTGTGGTGGTAAATAGACAGCTATGAAAAATATAGATGAAAACTCTCTTGGTAAATAGTGTGGTCTACAGCTTATCATAAGATACTCTACCTCAGGCGAGCAAAACCTAGAGACTTCCTTAATATTTGATTTTGTGCACTAGCTGTTGTTTACAAATATACACAGACCGCCACCCCTTGTCTTACCGGAGTCAGCCGTTCTATCCTGCCGATGTAGTGTATAGCCCGTCAGCTGTATCTTGTCCATGTCGTCGTTCAGCCACGACTTGGTGAAACATAAGATATTACAGTTTTTAATGTCCTGTTGGTAGAATAACCGTAATCGTAGGTCATCTAATTTATTTTCAAATTATTGAACATTGGCTAATAGGATTGATGGAAGAGGCAGTTTACTCGCTCGCCGTCGGATCCTTACAAGGCACCCCGACCTACGTCCACGATATCTCTGTCTCTTTCTCCTGCGAATGACAGGGATTTGGGCCTTGTCGGGTGTCTGTAGGATATCCTTTGCGTCCGACTCATTTAAGAAAAAATCTTCGTCCAATACGAGGTGAGTAATCGCTGTCCTGATATCCAGAAGTTATTTTTGGTTATAAGAGACGATGGCAGAAACATTATGTACAGAATAAATGACAAATAACGCGAAAAAACACACATAATAGTACAATTGGTTAGAGGGCTGTAAACATGCAAATAGTCCGGGTAGTCATTTGGTATTTTATTAGGATCCTCATTAGCTGTTGCAAAAGCAGCAGATTCTCTTCCTGGGGTCCACACAAAACATGAAACATGACTTAATACAGAACATTAATAGACAAGAACAGCTCAAGGACAGAACTACATAAATTTTTTGTTAAAGGCACACGTAGCCTACATATCAATACATACACACAAACTATCTAGGTCAAATAGGGGAGAGGCGTTGTGCTGTGAGGTGTTGCTTTATCTGTTTTTTGAAACCAGGTTTGCTGTTTATTTGTGCAATATGAGATGGAACGGAGTTCCATGCAATAATGGCTCTATATAATGCATGTCTGGTGGGGGTAAGTGTGTGTGTCAGAGCTGTGTGTAAGTTGACTATGCAAACTATTTGCGATTTTCAACACATTAATGTTTCTTATAAAAAGAAGTGATGCAGTCAGTCTCTCCTCAACTCTTAGCCAAGAGAGACTGGCATGCATAGTATTTATATAAGCCCTCTGATTACAATGAAGAGCAAGACGTGCCGCTCTGTTTTGGGCCAGCTGCAGCTTAACTAGGTCTTTCCTTGCTGCACTGGACCACACGACTGGACAATAATCAAGATTAGACAAAACTAGAGCCTGCAGAACTTGCTTTTTGGAGTGTGGTGTCAAAAAAGCAGAGCATCTCTTTATTATGGACAGACCTCTCCCCATCTTTACAACCATTGAATCTATATGTTTTGACCATGATAGTTTACAATCTAAGGTAATGCCAAGTAATTTAGTCTCCTCAATTTGTTCAACAGCCACACAATTCATTACCATATTCAGTTGAGGTCTAGAACTTAGGGAATGATTTGTACCAAATACAATGCTCTTAGTTTTAGAGATGTTCTGGACCAGTTTATTAGTGGCCACCCATTACAAAACAGACTGCAACTCTTTAAGGGTTTCAATGACTTCATTAGCTGTGGTTGCTGATGCGTATATGGTTGAATCATCAGCATACATGGACACACATGCTGTGTTTAATGCCAGTGGCAGGTCATTGGTAAAAATAGAAAAGAGTAGAGGGCCTAGAGAGCTGCCCTGTGGTACACCACACTTTACATGTTTGACATTAGAGAAGCTTCCATTAAAGAAAATCCTTTGAGTTCTATTCGATAGATAGCTCTGAATCCACGATATGGCAGAGGTTGAAAAGCCATAACACATAAGTTATGGTCAATAATATCAAAGGCTGCACTGAAATCTAACAGTACAGCTCCCACAATCTTCTTATTATCAATTTCTTCAGTCATTTGATTAACTGTTCAGCAGTCTTATGGCTATGTGACATTAAAACATATTTATATATTTTTTTACACTATCATTAACACATCAACGTGTGTGTTTGCCAGAGCTCAGCTTGGAGCAACAGCAACAGCATGGAGGAGCTCCTAAAGAGGATATCTTCATCACAGATGTCGCATACTGTGAACAGGCGGCCATCTTGTTGAAACAGGCCATGCTGCCACAGATACAGAACAACGACCGGAAGAGGAAGGAGGACGGCACACTGCCTGTAAGACTCTCTCTCTCTCTCTCTCTCTCTCGCTCTCTCGCTCTCTCTCTTTCTATCTCTCGGTGCAACTTCCTCGCACTTTCTCTATCTTCACACACTGGTGTCGCCTTACATCATTGAAAGCACTGAAACTCACACCGAAAAAAAATTCTCGGGTTAATCCCCCTGTACAGTATGTTAGATAAGTGTTATGACCTGTATTAGAATGAAGGATTTAGTATAGGACAAAGAAAGGATGGTTTTATGTACATCTTCACTTCTAAGTACATGTTTGTCTTCCTCACGCAGAGCTTGAAGGGAAACGAGGTGAGACAACTCACTCCTAATATCATAGAACCGGGGTTACATTAAGTAACCTTAAATTCTATTTAAAATACTTGTTCGTTGTCTCACGATGGGGAGACGTGGTGAGACACCTCACTCCTAATATCATAGAACCGGGGTTACATTAAGTAACCTTAAATTCTGTTTAAAATACTTGTTTGTTGTCTCACTATGGGGATATAGCCAACTCCTGTAGTGCTCATATACTCTCCGAAGCCAAGTCTAGACAGGATCAACCCTTAGAAGTCCTGACACTAAGCACCATGTGCATTAACAAGGGCACAGTGACGTTGTCCCAGCTGGTACTCGATGTCGGACCCTCCAGGCCCTCTAGGTTTGGACGCCATCGCTCACGATTGGCCGGCAACGACACTTTATGTGTTCCCACCATTTCCCCTGATCACAGCTACACTAGACAGGGTCATTTTGAAAGGCCACTGGCTGCTCCTGATAGCCCCATACTGGCCAAGACTTGGTCCAGCCTCCTGTTGATTAAATTACATTTTTACCCTCATCAATCAACACACTACCCCATAATGACAAAGCAAATTGTATCAAATTTATTACAAATAAAAAACAGAGACCTTATTTACATAAGTATTCAGACCCTTTGCTATGAGACTCGAAATTGAGCTTAGGTGCATCCTGTTTCCATTGATCATCCTTGAGATGTTTCTACAACTTGAAACGGAGTCCACCTGAGGTAAATTCAAATGATTGGACATGATTTGGAAAGGCACACACCTGTCTATGTAAAGTCCCACAGTTGACAGTGCATGTCAGAGTAAAAATCAAGCCATGAGGTCGAAGGAATTGTCCGTAGAGCTCCGAGACAGGATTGTGTCGAGGCACAGATCTGGGGAAGGGTACCAAAAAAATTCTGCAGCATTGAAGGTCCCCAAGAACACGGTGTCCTCCATCATTCTTAAATGGAAGAAGTTTGGAACCTCCAAGACTCTTCCTAGAGCTGGACGCCCGGCCAAACTGAGCAATCGGGGGAGAAGGGCCTTGGTCAGGGAGGTGACCAAGATCCCGATGGCCAATCTGACAGAGCTCCAGAGTTCCTCTGTGGAGATGGGAGAAACTTCCAGAAGGTCAACCATCTCTGCAACACTCCACCAATCAGGCCTTTATGGTAGAGTGGCTAGATGGAAGTCACTCCTCAGGAAAAAGCACATGACAGCCCGCTTGGAGTTTGCCAAAAGGCACCTAAAGACTCTCAGACCATGAGAAACAAGATTCTCTGGTCTGATTAAACCAAGATTGAACTCTTTAGCCTGAATGCCAAGTGTCACGTCTGGAGGAAACCTGGCACCATCCCTACGGTGAAGCGTGGTGGCGGCATCATGCTGTGGGGATGTTTTTCAGTGGCAGGGACAGGGAGACTAGTCAGGATCGAGGGAAAGAGAGATCCTTGATGAAAACCTACTCCGGAGTGCTCAGGACCACAGACTTGGGTGAAGGTTCACCTTCCAACAGGACAACGACCCTAAGCACACAGCCAAGACAACGCAGGAGTAGGCCCAGCCAGAGCCTGGACTTGAACCCAATCTAACATCTCTAGAGAGACCTGAAAATAGCTGTGCAGCAACGCTCCCCATCTAACCTGACAGAGCTTGAGAGGATCTGCAGAGAAGAATGGGAGAAACTCCCCAAATACAGGTGTGCCAAGCTTGTAGTGTCATACCCAAGAAGACTCGAGGCTGTAATCGCTGCCAAAGGTGCTTCAAAAAAGTACTGTGTAAAGGGTCTGAATACTTATGTAAATGTGTTATTTAAGTTCTAGTTTTTTATACATCTGCAAAAATTTATAAAAACCTGTTTTTGCTTTGTCATTATGGGGTATTGTTTGTAGAGTGATGAGGGAAAACAACTATTTTATCGATTTTAGAATTAAGGCTGTAACGTAACAAAATGTGGAAAAAGTGAAGGGGTCTGAATACTTTCCGAATGCACTGTATTTGGCCGCAATTTCGGCGTGCCATGACGATGGCCCGGAGGGACCCATGGGTGGCCACCCATTGCTCTCCAAGTTTATGAAGTGAGTTAGACGTCTGCATCCAGCGAAGGACCGTTCGGTGCCAAACTGGAACCTTGACGTGGTGCTGGCAGCACTTGTTAGGCCACCCTTCAAGCCCCTGGCGTTAGCGTCTTTGAAGCACCTATCCATGAAGGTGGCATTCCTGTTGGCTATTACCTCCACTAAGATGGTTAGTGAACTTTATGCTCTTTCAGTGAGCGCTGAATGTTTCTGAATGGGTGCAGGCAGGGGGAGTGTTATCCTCCGGCCTAACCCCTCTTTCTTGCCAAAGGTCCTGTCTGACAGACATGTGAATTGGCTCTCACATTTGTCCGCATATGCACCTCCCATGGCTGCGAGTGGGCTGGGTTTTTCCCCAAGTGTGCTGTGCCCGTTGAGGGCACTAGACACTTATGTTACACGGACTAAGACAATATGACAGTCGGATCAGCTGTTCGTGTGTTATGGTCAGAGTTCTGGGGAAGAGCCTATCGAAACAGAGACTCTCACATTGGATTGTGGACATTATTACTACAGCATATCAGCTGGCCGGCCGGCCTTTGCCGTCTGCTGTGGTGGCATATTCTACTAGAGGAGTAGCTACATCATGGGCCCTGCTCCAAGGAGTTCCCCTTGATGAAATCTGCACCTCGGCTAGTTGGGCGTCGGCTATCACTTTTGCTAGGTACTATTGAGTCAATGTTGCTGCCGCCAACCAGGTCGGGACGGCCATGTTGGGTGTTGCCTCCACTTCCCTGGAGGGGGATGGAGGGACACAGCAACCAAGACTGCCCTGAGCTCAGTCCTACGGGATTTTACTCTTGTCTGGCCATGCCTAGTTCACCAATTTAATCTGGTATTGTGATACGATATTGCAGTGATCAAATATAGTGCTACATAACAAAGGTTACGTATGTAACCACGGTTATGTGAGCTATTGGATCACTCCAATCGTCTTGTCAGTGATCTACGGCGCCTCGAAAAAAAACATGAGGTGGGAGTAATACGGCAGCAGCTATTTAACGGGGTCAGTCGCAGCACTACCTGGTACACGGGACTAATATGAAATTCTTACTCGGAATGTATCCTGCCGAGCGGAAGGATACCATTTTGGATTGATCCAATAGCTCACATTACCGTGGTTACATACGTAACCTTTGTTACCTGGGTTAAGCGTGTGCTAGATGACGCTAAGCCATGAGATTCTCGTAATTGGTTTTAGCTAGCGAGTAGTCCCCCAGTGGGTTACTATTCTAGCTATAGCTAGCACCGTGTTAGCCGAGGAGAACCGTGTTGCTCTTCGGTCTGGAGAGCCTCTTTTGACCATTGTATTGTGCGGTGTAACTGGTCAGTTTAGCCGTCGGTAGCTAGAAAATCCAGGAATTCTAGTGCTTGGCTTAGTTCGCCGAGTACGGGGAAAGAAGTAGCCATAACTCTGGGAGAGATGGTTCTGTTAGCCGGGTTATACTGTACATGTGCTACTCAAAGCCTGACCGTGGGGTCCGTACAGCTCAACAAACTAGTAGGAGCCTAGTAGCTAAACACCTCACTGTAGTTAGCTCTTTGTTAGCCGTAGAGCACCGTGTTGCTCTACAGGCTGAAAATCTCCCATGACTGCAGTACTGAGAGGCAAAACAGGTCAGCATAGCCAGCGAAGTTGCTGGTAAGCTAAACGAGCGGAAGTAATGCTACCCAGTTTAGCTAGGAAGAGCTAGCTCTGAGCGTGTACTGGCCAACATTCTGTGGAGCTAGTCCTGGCGTTAGCTAACTAGTGTTCACCCTGTAGGTTAGTAGTCTAGCCATTGCTAGTACACTGCTAGCTGAAGACAAAGTGTGTGGCGTAAGTTTTTGGTGAGCTAGCTGGTTAGCTTCGCGTTGTAGCGTGGGCTAACTGAGCTCCAGAAGTCGACACAGATGGAATGTGTGTCCCTCCCTGACATGAAAGACCCACACTGGCAAGACGCTGGTCTTGTCCTGTGCAGGGGTAGAGGTAGCCATAGCGCCGGTATGGAAACCCGGGCTATGCGTGTGCTGTTCGATGTTAAACTGTGCAGCTAACTAGTCCTGTTGTAAGGTAGCTAGTGTTCACCCAGTGGGTTAGCAGCCTAGCTATAACAAACACACTGCTAGCTGAAGAGAATATGCATTATTCTTTAGCTAGCTAGGTTAGCTTAGAGTGTGGCTAACCAAATCTCAAAAGTATCTTTCCTTTCTTCCATCTCAGTGGGAATAAGCAGCACAAAGCAGGTAGCTTAGTGGGCTGGTAGGGCAAGAGTTAGCCGTGTGGCACTAGCTGAGCCAGATACTGAGAAGTAGCTTTCGACGAGAAGCTGCTGTCCTAAGCTCAGTGGAGTCCTTGACGGCCCACCTGTGAACAGGTTAGCAGGAAAGCAGTGGTCCATGTCGATGTTGAGGAGAGTTTTAGAGGATCTAATCGAGTCCGTGAGGAAGGTGAAAGAAGTGAAGATGGGAGCGGACTACGGCCCAGTATATGGGAAGTGGAGTGGTCCACTATTGGCCGTCTACGACAGACGACTTGTGATGGGATCAATTCAAATAGAACACGTTAAGTAAACACACAAGGCCAACAATATCTTTGTTTTCATTTTTTGAGTTATAGGCATTCCATACAGAGAGAGAAAGGGAAATATGAAGAGATGTTTAACAAAAACAAACTGTTGTTTCTGATCCCTTGCTTATATTCCCCCCCCCACCACACACATACAGAGGATGATCTGCCCTCAGTGTCGTCTGGGTGTGACTCGTATCCAGGACCTGTCCAATCAGGACATGAAGAAGGTTCGTCAGCTGGCCCTCATCGACATGACAGCGCTCTGCGACCTGCTGGAGCTCGACGTGAAGAGACACAAAACTTGCAAGAGGAAGATACTAGGTATGTGAACTCCCTGTAACATGACATGCACACCACATGCCTCTCCTGTCTCTGCTGCTAAATGCATGTCAAGCCCTGGGAGAATGCCAAGTTGTATAGGGTTGCTATGCTAACCTCTCTCTCGCGCTCTCTCGTTCAAAGAGAGCACCCTGTTTGGGGTTCCCCTGGCCACGCTGTTGGAGAATGATCAGAAAGTCAAGCCCACTGCCACCACTCCTCTTATCCTGCAGGCGGTAAGCTAAACAGCTTTAGTTAACATCATCCCATTTCTAGTATCTACTGTATATTGAAAACCTATGCAAGAGCATGATGACCTGCATGACTGCTGTTGCTCTTAGGTTTATTTATATTTCTCTCTCTCCTCTATAGCTGCTCTCTTTCCTGGAGAAGAGAGGAGTAGACTCAGAAGGCATTCTGCGGGTTCCAGGTTCTCAGTCCAGAATCAAGGTGAGATCATTTCAGGATGAACAGACACTTTTTTCACACTCATTCATATCCTCCCTGTCCCTTTCTTGGCCATGGCATATTTTGAGTGTTCATATGGAAGGAAGGAATATGACTGAGAAAATAGCACACAGAACTATACCTATTGTTTACTGAATGTTATCTGTTTTGTCCCATGTTTTTATTAGAAGCTGCAGCAGGATCTGGAGCAGAACTTCTACAGTGGAGGATTCAGTTGGGAAGAGGTCAGCCCTAACGATGCTGCAGCGTTAGTGAAGAAGTTTATCAGAGAACTGCCTTCTCCACTGCTCACCACAGAGCACCTCAACACATTCAGCGCTGTCAGGGGTGAGCCAGAGCAACAACAAACCATACACCATATTATTCCTCTCATGCAAGGAATTTCATACACAAGACATCAACTACATGTGCACCAACACGTGCTGATTCATCGGTCATGAGTTGGTCGGAGTAACACGCTCATTATTATGTGGCCTGTGATTACTCAGGCAGTCACAGACCTGCATGCTGTGCATATAGCATAGCTAAGTGTCTGAGTGTCATTACTGTATCGACAGCAGAATATAACCCTGCATGCTCAGTCACGCAACCCATAGTGTGCATAGTCATAACTATCTAAGCATTTAGCATAATTACCTAAGTCGTTATTACTGTATCGATAGCGGAATATAAAAACTCTTATCTCTTATTAAAGGTCTAAGAGAAGATAAACAACTCGATAGCCGTTAAGCTGTTCTAATGTAATGTGCTAATAATGCAATCGCTCCCTGTACCATTTAATGTCATTAAAGAAATAATGAAATGATAGACGACAATAATAAATAACGATCTGATTGATGATGACTAGCTAGGCCTATAGCTTGTGAGGTGAATCTTTATCATTTTTAGACACCTCTTCTTCTGCAGATCAGGTCGTTGTTGAGCTAAAGGAGAGAAAATTAGTGTTCAGTTCAGATCTATTTCTTTAAAAAATATATATTTTAAGGTCTACTCTGAGTTTATTGAACAGATAGAGAGAGAGGATAACTGTGGGGATGGATAGAGATTGTGCTAAATGGCAGTAGGCCAGATTCAAACCTATGCTGACACTGCATGTGTGCTGGAAGCTGCGTCATTACCCAGAGACCAGCCAGGCCACAGTTCAGATCTACATTATTTCTATGGTTAATTCACACTCAGCCTTTCTGTTGATTATTTTCTGTATTGTTTTATACATACATTCCTGTGTGTTCAGTTCATTCACACCTTGTCCGCTGTTTGCTCTACAGCAGGGTTCTTCAATTCCGGGCCTGGAGGGCCGAAACACTTCTGTTTTTTTATTTCTACCTGGTAGTTAATTGCACTCACCTGGTGTCCCAGGTCGGAATTAGCCCCTGATTAGAAGGAGAGGATGAAAAACAGAGGTGTTTCGGCCATCCAGGACCGGAATTGAAGAACCCTGCTCTACAGAAATAGCATACTGATAGTAATTCTCTGTCCTCTCCTATCCAGACATCCCTGAGCTGAAACAGAAGCTACATGTTCTGAACCTTCTCATCCTTCTTCTGCCTGAACCCAACAGAAACACACTAAAGGTATGTTGATGGATTTCAAACTGAGGAAGCGCTATAGAGATTTGTTCATACAGTCAACTCCTAATACAGTGAGTGAAAAAAGTATTTGATCACCTGCTGATTTTGTACGTTTGCCCACTGACAAAGAAATGATCAGTCTATAATTTTAATGGTAGGTTTATTTGAACAGTGAGAGACAGAATAACAACAAAAAAATCCATAAAAACGCATGTCAAAAATGTTATAAATTGATTTGCATTTTAATGAGGGAAATAAGTATTTGACCCCCTCTCAATCAGAAAGATTTCTGGCTCCCAGGTGTCTTTTATACAGGTAACGAGCTGAGATTAGGAGCACACTCTTAAAGGGAGTGCTCCTAATCTCAGTGTGTTACCTGTATAAAAGACACCTGTCCACAGAAGCAATCAATCAATCAGATTCCAAACTCTCCACCATGGCCAAGACCAAAGAGCTCTCCAAGGATGTCAGGGACAAGATTGTAGACCTACACAAGGCTGGAATGGGCTACAAGACCATCGCCAAGCAGCTTGGTGAGAAGGTGACAACAGTTGGTGCGATTATTCGCAAATGGAAGAAACACAAAATAACTGTCAATCTCGCACGGCCTGGGGCTCCATGCAAGATCTCACCTCGTGGAATTGCAATGATCATGAGAACGGTGAGGAATCAGCCCAGAACTACACGGGAGGATCTTGTCAATGATCTCAAGGCAGCTGGGACCATAGTCACCAAGAAAACAATTGGTAACACACTACGCCGTGAAGGACTGAAATCCTGCAGCGCCCGCAAGGTCCCCCTGCTCAAGAAAGCACATATACATGCCCGTCTGAAGTTTGCCAATGAATATCTGAATGATTCAGAGGAGAACTGGGTGAAAGTGTTGTGGTCAGATGAGACCAAAATGGAGCTCTTTGGCATCAACTCAACTCGCCGTGTTTGGAGGAGGAGGAATGCTGCCTATGACCCCAAGAACACCATCCCCACCGTCAAACATGGAGGTGGAAACATTATGCTTTGGGGGTGTTTTTCTGCTAAGAGGACAGGGCCACTTCACTGCATCAAAGGGACGATGGACGGGGCCATGTACCGTCAAATCTTGGGTGAGAACCTCCTTCCCTCAGCCAGGCATTGAAAACGTCTGACCTCTGTGATTGCCAACAATGGTTTTGCCACCAAGTACTAAGTCATGTTTTGCAGAGGGGTCAAATACTTATTTCCCTCATTAAAATGCAAATCAATTTATAACATTTTTTACATGCGTTTTTCTGGATTGTTTTGTTGTTATTCTGTCTCTCACTGTTCAAATAAGCCTACCATTAAAATTATAGACTGATTGTCATTGGGCAAACGTACAAAATCAGCAGGGGATCAAATACTTTTTTCCCTCACTGTAAATACAATGGCTCGGGACTGGGATTACATGCACTGAACCAGATAATTTATTTGAATTTGAGGTGGCTACTAAAGGGTTTAGTAGATAGTAGGCTTACGTTGTTCCGTGAGGTACCCAGATGTCTATAGTGATGCAATTTAAATGGCATGCACATCTTAAACCTTCACACTTACAGTGTCTTCAGAAAGTATTCACACTTGTTGACTTTATCCCATAGAAATTGTGTTATAGCCTGAATTTAAAATTGATTAAATTGAGATTTGTTTTGTCACTGGCCTACACACAATACCCCATAATGTCAAAGTGGAATTATGTTTTTAGAAATGTTTACACAAAGAAAAAAAATGAAAAGCTGAAATGTCTTGAGTCAATAACTATTCAATCGTTTTGTTATGGCAAGCCTAAATAAATTCAGGAGTAACAAGTCACATTTGCTTAACAAGTTGCACCAACATGGATTAACTGTTAAACTGGGTTAAATCAAGGTTTAACTATTAATCTTGTTGCACCAAATTTTAAACCTAGGTTTTAAATTAATCCTAGTTAAATTAAATCCTTCCTCTAATCTAAATGTCGTTTTCACTTTAAACCTAGATTAATTTTAATTCTGTTGCTCAAAAAAAAAAATATATACAGTGGGGGAAAAAAGTATTTAGTCAGCCACCAATTGTGCAAGTTCTCCCACTTAAAAAGATGAGAGAGGCCTGTAATTTTCATCATAGGTACACGTCAACTATGACAGACAAATTGAGAAAAAAAAAATCCAGAAAATCACATTGTAGGATTTTTTATGAATTTATTTGCAAATTATGGTGGAAAATAAGTATTTGGTCAATAACAAAAGTTTCTCAATACTTTATTATATACCCTTTGTTGGCAATGACACAGGTCAAACGTTTTCTGTAAGTCTTCACAAACTGTTGCTGGTATTTTGGCCCATTCCTCCATGCAGATCTCCATTAGAGCAGTGATGTTTTGGGGCTGTCGATGGGCAACACAGACTTTCAACTCCCTCCAAAGATGTTTATCCAAAGCGACTTACAGTCATGCGTGCATACATTTTTTGTGTATGGGTGGTCCCAGGGATCGAACCCACTACCTTGGCATTACAAGCGCCGTGCTCTACCAGCTGAGCTACAGAGGACCACAACAACATTGTAGTTACTCCACAATACTAACCTAATTGACAGAGTGAAAAGCAGGAAGCCTGTACAGAATAAAAAATATTCCAAAACATGCATCCTGTTTGCAACAAGGTACTAAGGTAATATTGCAGAAAAGGTGGCAAAGCAATTAACTTTTTGTCCTGAATATAAAGTGTTATGTTTGGGGCAAATCCAATACAACACTTTACTGAGTACCACTCTCCATATTTTCAAGCATAGTGGTGTCTGCATCATGTTATGGGTATGCTTGTAATCGTTAAGGACTGGGGAGTTTTTTAGGATGAAAAATAAATGGAATGGAGCTAAGCACAGGCAAAATCCTAGAGGAAAATCTGGTTCAGTCTGCTTTCAACCATGCACTGGGAGTTGAATTCACCTTTCAGCAGGACAATAACCTAAAACACAAGGCCAAATCTACACTGAACTTGCTTACCAAGAAGACAGTGAATGTTCCTGAGTGGCCGTGTTAGTTTTGACTCAAATCTACTTGAAAGTCTATGGCAATCTAGGAATGATCAATAACCAATTTGACAGCGCTTGAAGAATTTTGAAAAGAATAATGGGCAAATGTTTCACAATCCAGGTGTGGAAAGCTCTTAGAGACTTACCCAGAAAGACTCACAGCTGTAATCGCTGCCAAAGGTGCTTCTACAAAGTATTGACTCATGGGGTGTGAATACTTATGTAAATGAGATATTTATGTATTTCATTTTCAATAAATTTGCATAAATTACTAAAAACATGTTTTCACTTTGTCATTATGGGGTATTGTGTGTAGATGGGGGCTAATAAAATAAAATAAAAAAAGTTTCTCCATTTGGAATTCAGGCTGTAACACAACAAAATGTGGAATAAGTCAAGGTTTATGAATACTTTCTGATGCCACTGTACATAACATAATGTAGGAGGGGCATTAATGATGTGTCATGTCTTGCTGACATAATATAATCTGTAACTGTGTGTTAACTCCTCCGCGTATGGCATGAGAGGGCACTCTGTTTCTAGCTTATATTTAATACATTCACATAACTAGTCACCTTTTAGCTGACACATTTAATGGATGACTCAAAATATCTGATCTAATTTAAAGTATAAAAGTATGTTAGGCTCCTGCCTTGATGGTTTAAAAAATGTGTGAACATTGTTTTCTTTGTTAGAATTATAAGAAGGGGGAGAAGTGTATATCAGACTAAAAAACATCTCCCTATGTCTCTATCACCATTCAAGTCAACCATATCAATCGCAACAACAACAAAATATCAACGTTGACAGGCTCTGTTGGAGTTTCTGAGTAAGGTGGTGTCCAGAGAGAGGAGGAACCGTATGAACCTGTGGGCCGTGTCCACCATCATGGCCCCTAACCTGTTCCTCCACAAAGCCATGCCCTCCCGCCTCACTGACGGGGGGCCAGGGGTCGAGAAGGGACAGGCCGAGAAGGCTGCTGACATCATGAGGCTCCTCATACGCTACCAGGACCTGCTCTGGACCGTAAGTTAAAGACCTCCAGGCTCTACCACCAACATCTACCAAAACACAACATTCAAGTATCTTTTTAATCTTCTTCCTCCTTAGCATCTAGGGTGAGTGGTAGATTCACGTTACACAACTCACACTTACTGTAAACAAAATGCCGTCAAACAGCTGAACCGGGTGAATTAAAGAAATTGCTTCTTCCTTTTAGATCCCTAACTTCGTGATGAGCCAGGTGCGTAAACTGAATGAGAACCGTAACCGGAGGTACCAGTTCTACGACCGACGCATCAAGAACCTGCTGAGGAAAATACACCAGGACAGCAAGGACAAACCTGACAAGAACTCAGAGGTAGGCTCTTAACTGGCCAGGATGTTTGTTGTGGATTTGGTTGGGAGAAGAAGACCCTAGGTCACTTGTAAATTAGATCTTTAATCTCAACGAAGGTCACTCATATAAAGGATGTGAATAAAATAAGCAGAAGATTGTATGTGGCTCTGGATTTCTCTGCTAAATGATGCAAATATTATTATCCCCTCCCTCATCTCCCCCACCAGCCGTGTCGTACAGTGAAGATCCAGGTGGGAGATCTGATGAGCAGCACCATGGAGGTGCAGGTGAACATCAACTCCAGGGCTTCAGACCTGCTGGCTCAGTTCCACAGGCACCTCTGCAGCTCAGACAACACCAAGAGGTACATTACACTACAATCAATCAATCAAATGTATTTAGTACAAAGCCCTATAGACCAACACACAGTTTTTCCCGACTACGTCAGCTGACCAGGGAAAACTCTGCCCTAGTGATGACCTCTAAGCAGAGGACTATAGAAAACTAATGCTTCAGAAATACTGCATTGACTATTTACCGGGTAGAAATGGAAGTTGTGAAAGTGTTTAACAGAATAACAGAATAAATTGCATGTCTGTCTGTTCTTTATCACAGGAACGGTTCAGTAAATGGTTCGGGATCCTACCCGGACTGTGCCATCTATGAAGTGGGTGGAAATATCGGTAGGTACCACAGCACAAACCTTCGCTCCGTAGTGAGACTATTTACCAGACCTGGCTTGAGTGTTTGCTTTCTTTCTATTGGTTCAATTGCAACAGGCAAGCTCAATCAAGCACAGCTAAATACATTATTTAAAATAGCATTTGAATCCAGGTTTGCTATCTTCTCAGGCTGTAACTTGTGTTGTTGTTTTTATCGCACTGCTTTGCTTTATCTTGGCCAGGTAGCAGTTGTAAATGAGAACTTGTTCTCAACTGGCTTACCTGGTTAAATAAAGGTTAAATAAAATCAATAAAGGCTGAGAGCCACATTAAAAGGTTACATAAGTGACTCTGACATTTGCACGTCTTTCTGCTCTTTGAACTGATTAAGCTGGCCAGGTCTTATGCAATGAACTGGAGAGAGAGAGGGGAAAGACAGAGAGGGTGGGGGGAGAGCGAGCCATCTGTGTGCATCTGCAGTTATCGGAGCAGACAAATGCTTACACATGTAGCTACTGTACGATACTGTGCTCTCACAGACCCAACCACTCATACACACTGTTTCCTTAATCATTCCCATTCACATTCACACACTTGCACCAGGTGCAATGTTGGCACCTGGTTTGTCAGTAAAGCCGAAAACACTGTTTCAAACTGTTTTCAACATCTCTCTTGCAGAAGAGATTTTATCTCAATGAGAGGAACCTGTATAAATAAGGGTTAAATTACAAAATCTGTCCATCAGTATGGATTCAGCCTTGTGTTGATCTGTTCTGTCCCGTAGGTGAACACTGCCTAGACCCAGAGACCCATCTCCTGGACCTGTGCAACACCAACCCCAGTGGGGAGTGGGTCATCAAACTGAAACCCCTGGTCACCACCAGGGGGCTGCACCAATAAGAGACAGCCGCAGGCAAAGGGAGAGACCAGTAGGGGGCTTCAAGAGCCAGCCAGAGGAGGAGGGAGACCAGGAGGAGGAGAGGAGGAAGAAGCTGCTGCTGTTAAAAAACAAACCACCTCAAGACTGAGCCCTCTCTCCCCCTTTCCTTTTCCCAATGCAGGGGAGACCAGACTAGGTGGAGCAAAGCAGAGATAGACAGAGAGGGAGAGCTACTGCTCAAAAACACTCCACCTTCAGATGGAGGAGAGGCTTTGGCTGCTTCTTGACTTGTCAGCTCTCAGCCAATCACCTCCCAGTGTCCGCAGGAGCCCAGATGGGGATCTGATGCACCGCTGGCTACGACAGCAGCCGCCGAGTCTCTCTCACTCTCTCTTTCTTTTTTTTGTATCTCTCCATTCTTTCTGCTCAGACATTTGATCACAAAAGGAATGGGAGAGTGAGGGGGACAGTCAAAGACTCTAATGAGCTGATAGCCCCATGCCCTGTCCCCTGTGTATGACTTTGGCTCTGTTCTTTCTGGGGCCTTTGGGCCCTGTCCCTGCAGACTCTATAAGAGCCCTAATCAGAGTAGAGGACAGAGATCCTTCTTCTCTTTAAGGGATCAAAGGTCAGCCTTTAATACATTACTACTGGACCTCTAAAGGGAACGGTTGTTTAATAACAGAGAGTGAAGCTGGTCTTCGTTTCTGTTTTCTCATTTTTGTTTTTGATGAACGAAGGATTTTAAGTATTGAATCTGGCGATGGATTGATTGACTATTTATAATTGATTGGATGTGTCTATCTGTATGTACGTGTATGTAGTCATGAATGTTGTCCTTTGAAATGAATAGGTATGTTTGTTGCTGAAATAGTAACATAACAGTCATGTAAGCTCATCCAGTCTTTTTGGGGACTTTTACAGTGGTCTTGCTCTTGTACAGTACCTTTGTTGATGAGCTGTATTTTGATGCACCTCCGCATCCCTCTTTTTCTATTTCTATTACCCATTTGTCCTCAGTTCCTCTTGAAAATACATTTCGTATATGAAATCTATTAATAGTGTTTACATGTTTTGATGATGCTCAGATGTTACAAACAGTATGCACCACCATCAGTGGAGGCTGCTGAGGGAAGGTTGACTCATAATAATGGCTGGAAAGGAACGAATGGAATGGCATCAAACACATGGAACCCATTTATGTCACTCCAGCCATTACCACCAGCCTGTCCTCCCCAATTAAGGTGCCACCAACCTCCTGTGACCACCATGTACATTATCTTCTACATGACAACCTACCATGAGTGGGGTCTGAAATTATTGACACCCTTGATAAAGATGAGCAAAAATGACTGTATAAAAATAAATTATTCAAATACTGAGCTATATTGTATGGTAAAAAAATAGGGAAATTATTTTATACTAATACAATTGCTTTTAGAAAGAGATTTTGTTTACAAATAATATAATTCTCAAAAAATATGGGGTAAAAATGAGTGACACCCGTTTTCAATACCTTTCAATACCTTGTGAAGATAACGGCACTGAGCCTTTTTCTAAAATGTTTTATGAGTTTGAGAACACATTGGGAGGGATCTTAGACCAGTCCTTCATATAGAATCCTTCCAGATCCTTGATATACTTCATCTGAGCTCATGGACTGCCATCTTTAATTGAAACCACAGGTTTTCAATGCGTTTCAAATGTTGATTTTGTGGCCAATTAACCATTTATTAGTAGATTTTGATGTGTGCTTGGGGTTATTCTCTTGCTGGACGATCCACTTCCGGCCACATTTCAGCCTCCTAGCAGAGGCAACCAAGTGTTGGCTAAAATGTCCTGGTACTGGGTAAAGTCCATGATGCCGTTGAACTTAACAAGGGCCCCAGGACCAGTGGAAGCAAATAACCCCATAATATCAAAGATCCACCACCATATTTTACAGTAGGTACAGTGCCTTCGGAAAGTATTCAACCCCCTTGACTTTTTCCACATTTTGTTGAGTTACAAAGTGGAATTAAAATAGATGTAATTTTCTTTTCTTTTTTTACGATCTACACAAAATACTCTAATGTCAAAGTGGAAGAAAAATTCTAAAAAATAAAATGTAATGTATGAAAAATATGTCCTCATTAGATAATTATTCAACCCCCTGAGTCAATCCATGTTAGAAACACCTTTGTCAGCAATTACAGATGTGAGTCTTTTGGGGGTAATTACAGATGTGCAAGAGCTTTGCACACCTGGGTTGTACAATATTTGCCCATCATTCTTTAAAAAATTCTTCAAGCTCTGTCAAGTTGGTTGTTGATCATTGCTAGACAACCATTTTCAAGACTTGCCATAGATTTTCAAGCAAATTTAAATCCAAACTGAAACAAAGCCACTCTTGGTAAGCAACTCCAGTGTAGATTTGGCCTTGTATTTTAAGTTATTGTCCTGCTGAAAGGTGAATTAGTCTCCCAGTGTCTGCTGGAAAGCAGACTGAACCAAGTTTTCCTCTAGGATTTTGCCTGTGCTTAGCTCTATTTCATTTATTTTTATCCCAAAAATAATTCCCTAGTCCTTGCCGATGACAAGCATACCCATAACATGATGCTGCCACCACTATGCTTGAAAATATGAGTGGTACTCAGTAATGTGTTGTGTTGGATTTGCCCCAAACATAATGCTTTGTATTCAGGACAAAAAGTTAATTTCTTTGCCACATTTTTTGCAGTATTACTTTAGTGCCTTATTGCAAACAGGATGCATGTTTTGGAATATTTTGATTCTGTACAGGCTTCCTTCTTTTCACTCTGTCATTTAGGTTAGTATTGTGGAGTAACTACAATGTTGTCGATCCATCCTCAGTTTTCTCCTATCACAGCCATTAAACTCTAACTGTTTTAAAGTCAACATTGGCCTCATGGAAAAATCTCTGAGCGGTTTCCTTCCTCTCTGGCAACTGAGTTAGGAAGGACGCCTGTATCTTTGTAGTGAATGGGTGTATTGATACACCATCCAAAGCCTAAAAATAACACCATGCTTAAGGGAATGTTCTGTTTTGTTCATTTTTTTTTTTCATTTATCAATCATGTCCTTCTTTGCGAGGCATTGGAAAACCTCCCTGGCAGTGCCGACTCTAGCCTATTGGGGGCCCTAAGCGAGATTTGTAAAAATCTAAAAATTGTTAGCTGACATGGCTAATCGAGTGACTGTCACTGACTGATAAAACAAGAGAAAAACTGCTGATGCACAACCAAATTCTGAACTTGCACCTTGTGTATTCTACTATTTTAACTCTCAACAGTAAGTTTAGACCCCGACTGAGTTTCTAAAATATAGATATTTATTTTTGGGTTGGGGGCCCCCTAGCGGCCGGGGCCCTAAGCGACCGCTTATGTCGCTTATGCCTGGGGCCGGCCCTGGTCTTTCGGGGGAAATTCACTACTCACTGAGGGAACTTACAGATAATTGTATGTGTGGGGTACAGAGATGAGGTAGTCATTCATAAATCATGCACACAGAGTGAGTCCATGCAACCTATGTGATTTTTTAAAAAGCAAGTTTGTACTTCTGAACATATTTAGGCTTGCCATAACAAAGGGGTTGACTACTTATTGACTCAAGACATTTCAGCTTTTCATTTTTTATTAATTAGTTTATAAAAATCTAAAAACACAATTACACTGACATTATAGGTTATTGTGTGTTGATTTGTGACAAATGATGAATCTCAATTTAATACATTTTAAATTCAGGCTGTAACACAACAGAATGATGAACAAGTCAAGGGGGTTGAATACTTTCTGAAGACACTATATGGGATTATTTTCTGCTCATGCGTTCTCATTTCAACGCCAAACCCACCACTTGTGTGCGTGGCCAAAGAGCTCTATTTTCATGTCATCCAACAAATGTAAACGCCTGGAGTTTGCTAAACGGCATTGGCACTTGGATTGGAACCGGTGCTTTGGTCAGATGACATGAAAATAGAGCTCTTTGGCCACGCACACCAGTGGTGGGTTTGGCGTCGAAATGAGAATGCATGAGCAGAAATAACTTGGGCGGAAGTGGATCTTCCAGCAAGACAATAACAAGTACATATCAAAATCCACAAATAAATTGTTAATTGGCCACAAAATTAACATTTTGCAATGGCCATCTCAGTCTCCGGACTTGAAACCCATTGAAAACCTGTGGTTTGAATTGAAGAGGGCAGTCCATAAGTGCAGACAAAGGATATCAATGATCTGGAAGGATTCTGTATGGAAGAATGATCCTTCCCAATGTGTTCTTCAACTCATAAAACATTTTAGAAAAAGGCTCAGTGCTGTTATCCTCGCAAAGTGAGGTATTGAAAACAGGGGTGTCAACATTTACCCCTACCTTTTTCAACAAATAAAAAAATACTTCTTAAACCAAACCTCTTTCTCTAAGCAATTGTATTAGTATAAAATAATATCATTTCCCTTTTTTTTTTGTATACAAAGTAGCTCAGTATTTGAATTACTTATTTTACACAGTCATTTTTGCTAATCTTTATCAAGGGTGTCAATAATTTCGGACCCCACTGTATATGCTACTCTTCTCAGACATTATGCACCACCACATACAGTATACACAGTTTAAAATGCTTACACATGCTCAAACACACACGCTCAAACAAACTATATAGATCTAATCTCAGTCACAGAAAGTAATTGTTCTATACAGAGCCAGAGCCACAGAGGAGTCACTTATTCTGTTTGATAAAGAGAAGGGTAATAAATGGGTGTGATATGGATGTCTGTGGTTGTGTTGAGCTTCATTACACAAGCCCAATTGGGCTGTGGCTGAGTCCGTGGCACAGTTCAGTGCCCCAGCACAAAGCACTGATGGAACACACACACAAAGCAGTGATGGAGCAGGCCTTCTGCTGACATTAATCAGTGGAACTAGGTCACCTTTAAAGCTCTGTTATTCTCAGGGGAACTAGTGACACTATACATCCCAGATACCCCAGCCCAGGCCAGAACACATGGATATGTGTACATACTGTACACACATGCATACTCAATGCACACACACAAAATCAGCTGAACAACAAACTGGGTCACGTATGTGGAGTACTGATGCATGTTCTCTCTATATTGTATTGTTCAATGGCCAATTATGTGTCTTTTCTTTAGGGTGTAATGTAATTCAAGCCCTTAAAACAGTGTAATGCAAGTGCTATGATGACCACTTGTGTGACAAGCATCTAAGAGATCGACATGAGAAATAGCACATGAAAAAAGAAATGGAAATAAAGTTATTTTACTTTAAAAACCTGAGTAGATGTGTTTTGAGAATGTCTTCAATGAATGGACTTAGCTTTGTAATAATCAATTTACTATCATTATCTTCTAAATCATGACAACCTACCATGGGGTCTGAAATTATTGACACCCTTGATAAAGATTAGCAAAAATGACTGTATAAAATAAATAATTCAAATACTGAGCTATATTGTATGCAATTAAAGGGGGAAATTGTATTATTTTATACTAATACAATTTCTCAGAGAAAGAGATTTTGTCTAACAAGTAATCTTTTTTTTCTTAAAAAGTTAGGGGTAAAAAATATTGACACCCCTGTTTTTAATACCTTTCAATGCCTCACCTTGAGAGGATAATGGCACTGAGCCTTTTTCTAAAATGTTTTATGAGTTGGAGAACACAATGGGAGGGATCTTAGACCATTCCTCCGTACTTAATCCTTCCAGATCTTTGATATACTTTGTCTGCGCTTATCTACTGCCCTCTACAATTCAAACCACAGGTTTTCAATGGGTTTCATGTCCGGAGACTGAGATGGCCATTGCAAAATGTTTATTTTTTGTTTTTGATGTGTGCTTGGGGTTATAGTCTTGCTGGAAGATCCACTTGCGATCAAGTTTCAGCCTCTGGCGCAGGAAACCAGGTTTTTTGGCTAAAATGTCAACCACAATATTTTACAGTAGGTAAGGGGTTCTTTTCTGCTCATGCGTTCTCATTTTGACGCCAAACCCACCACTGGTCTGCGTGGCCTAGGAGCTCAATTTTCATGTAATTTGACCAAAGCACTGGTTCCAATCCAAGTGTCACTGCTGTTTAGCAAACTCCAGGCGTTTACATTTGTTGGATGACATGAAAATAGAGCTGTGTGGCCACTCACACCAGTGGTGGGTTTGGCATCGAAATTAG